CAATTCAGTAATTTTGCCCCTTATATATGATAAGACTAATAATGACTCAGTTTTATAAAGAAGTGTACGCGAGTGTATGCTTAATATACAACAAAATGGAAATAGAGGCTAAGAAAAAATAATATAATTTTTTCACCGCTTTTTGCTAGATCACAACTTTGTACCTTCTTCACCTTCCTGACATTAGCTTCTTCAGGTATTACTCGTGTCGACCCACTTGTTCATCTCTCACTGGATAACAAAGAGCGCCTAGTTATTTCAAGAAACTAAGGCAAGATATCGATCAAACTTTTCCACTAACAAAGATAACTCCCTGAACACTCACAAACAACCGACAAGATCAGATAATTCTTACCTGATCGTGTTGATAACTTCTATAAAAGCTGCTGCAGTAACTCTACAACACAATTGCGTATTCATCTTCAAAACTGAATGGCTGGCCCAAAAAATTCGTAAAATTGCAAGCGTCGTGAGGCAATTCAGTCAGTTATTATTATTACAGGTCGGTGTCAGTAGGAGGCTCGATTACCAGCCACTGTTCGGGAACCGAAGCCCTCGCTCCTCCCCGAAGAGAGGAACGAGAAAGACCTGACCAGAGAGAGCGGCCGAAATCGAGCCTATGTCAGTATCTAAACAACTTCAGATCTACCCCTCCCCTAACCCAAAAACAGTTAACTAATAACAAGTTAAGGTTAATGTTGGTCAGGAGAAGGGTAAGTGTACAATTGTTCAGATGCTGACATCGCTCTAATATCTCAGCAGACATCGTACAAGAAAAGATTTTATAGAAATACAGACCTCAAATCTTCAAGATGCTACGTCCAAACATCCCATTTACTCTCCCATTCCGTTTTTCACCTTTATTTCGTTTATCATTCCTTTCAAATCTTAACTCTTTAACTCCTATGATCTGATTGTTTATTTTCCCCTCTAGCTGCTACACTTTTCCATTTAAATTGGTTACGAGAATTTGCTGTTAGATCAAGATAACTATTCCTACCTGATAAGTTTAAGTGTTCTTCTCACCGGTTTGCTGGTTAAAGTATAGATATCAGAGGGAAATGTTACACGGCGTTGTCACTTCTGGGGGTTAAAAGGTTAAATGGTTGCGTTAAATAATTATTTGAAAACTATTTTCCTGTTTCAGGATTATTTGCTTTTGATCGAGCAGCTGAAACTGAAATCCTTATTCAGACTCTTCTTTGGGGTTTGTGTGTAGCTCACGTGATTATCAGTTTGGTAATCCGTCAAAGGAAACTGACATCTTCTGATGTTTGCCGTGATCTCAATTCGAAACATGAGGTTGGAAATCGGTTCAACAACGACGTCATAGATTCACTTGGACAACTGGTTAAGAATTCTGTAGGTAAGGGTGACTGCGCATTGCTACAGACCGAATGGGGCTTTCTCGATACCATTGCCCCTTTTGATTTTTTGCCGAAAAGTTTAGTAATTTTTATCACTAAATTGCAACGTGCAACGAATACAACATCCAAAGAACAGCTGATTAACTAATTTAAATTCATTCGATATCCATTCGTTCAGAACAAGACAGTCGAGAGGTCAACCATAGGGTTGGCTAATAAGTCAGTGAGTCAACAGTAAATGAGTCAGTTAGTCAGTCAGCCGGTCGGTCAATCACACAGTCATTCTTTCATTAAGTCAGACTGCGGTCAGACATTCAGTCAGTCGATATTTTAGTCATTCATTCATTCATTCAGTCAGCCTTTTCATTCTCTCAGTCATTCTTTAATTCACTCGGCCAGTCGGTCGATCGTGCGAAATGATTCGAGAACAGACATGTCAATTGTTGGCGATAAGAGTCGTATATAATTTTGTTTTCCTTTCCTAGCACGTAAGACTGAGGTTACGATGTCTTTGAAGCATCCTGAAAACTGTGTAACGATGAGGACGATACATGGACTCTCAACTAAATTCAACAGCCACAAACTTGAAATGTTGATTTGGGTGGTTCTACACGATATGCGTAAGCTTTAACTTTCGTGCTTTTCCTAGTTGTTGATCTATACATCTGCTGGAGGATTTTGCATGTCGCCAGTGGATACAAATTTTGTACGATGAAGACACTTAATCCCTATTTTACAATCACCATGCCCCTCTCCGTTCAGAAATAGACCTGGGTACAGGTAAACTGTATTAAGGACACTTCACCAAATGCTGGATTGTATCCATATAGGACTAATATTCCCATGTCGGCCGAGTAGCAGCCGACACTCGGCCGACACATTGGTCGAATATCGGCCGAGTGCCGGTCCAGTATCGGTCAAATATCGGTATGTAGGCCGATACTTGACCGATACTCGGCCGATATTCGACCGATACGTCGGCCGAGTGTCAGCCGCTATTTGGCTGACATAGCGGCCGAGTGTCGGCCGATAGTGTCGATGATCTATCGGTAACCTACCAGTGAACTGTCGGCGAGCTATCGGTCGACTACAGGTAAACTATCGGCGAGCTAATTTGTTCTCGCTAGCCGATAATTCTCCTGATTATAAAACTTGATAAAACTCGACGTTCACTTTTATATCGAAGCTCAAAAGTAAGATATCGTATGATATCGTCGGGCAATTAACGAGCGACATATCGAACGAGACTCGACCGACATTTAGTCGGCTGAGTATCAACTGAGTATCGGTAAGGTATCGGCAGACTATTGGTAAAGTATCGATAAGGTATCGATAAGGTATCGGCCGAGTGTCGACGAGACTAAATCGGCCAAAGTATCGGCCGATACTCGACCAGTACTCGACCGATACTCGGCCAACACTCGATCGATATATCGACCGAATGTCGGCCGAGTAGCGGTCGACATGTCGACTGATATATCCACCGATAGTGTCCACCGACACTATTTACAGTAAACATGGTCCAAAAGGGGTTTCCTTATTATACAACTTCTTTTTACTTTCTTTACTTCAGTTTCCCCAGAAAAATGTGCTCAGCGATTTTTTTCCCTTCAGTCCTTCGAGCTTGGACCTGTTTACACGGTGCAAAACATTATAGCAGGCACAGAAAAAGGATTTAATCCGTTACAAGATTTCCTGGTGATAGGTACAACATATTTAGCGTATATTGCTGTTTTCTATAATATAATACT